ACATATGCACGCATGTATGAATACAAATATGAATATGTATTTATTTGAACATATGTATGCTCGAAAACTTTGTTGTTGGTAGCAAATCTATGCTAATCGCATCAGCTTCATTCTCTGCTTAAATCATTGCCACCCTAGAATGAGAAGTGATTAGCGCGCGGGCGGCTTGCGTCATGTTGCTTTTGTTTTTTATATTATAATAACCATGGGTTTAATAGTGATTTCAAATTTCGTAACCTAAAAATTATAAAATTTTTTTCTGAATTTTTGACATGTTAAAATATCAAAACTTACTTTTTATAGTGATAACTTAACTCCCACTCTGGCGTCTATGCTGGAAAGCTCGTTTAGGATGTGGTAACCTAAACCTGTAGAGTTTTGTGTAATTGCAACACTTGCGGGCCTGAGGTGAGATAGTCAGCGGGCGTAGTTCTTGAAGTCATTTTAATTTCGACAAAAAATCAATCAAAGCCTTGGGCAACCGCCTGCATGCGGAGGGCCCCATAAGGCATTAGTCACTTCTTTGAATGCCCTCTAAAACCAACTCATCTAAGATTCTACTTTTTTGATCCGAACTCGTCGAAATATCTCGTTTACTGTAGTTCCCTTTAGATGACCTCAACTTATTTTATAAGCGTCTTTTGAAAGCCACTAGAACAACCAAAACAAAACAAATCAAAAAATATATTGAGTTCTACAATTTATAAATGTGGTCGGACCCCGGCAGGGAATGTCAACCCCTCCGAGTGTATTTCTGACAAGCAATAAAGGCTCCTTAAGTAAGATAAACTGTAAGTACCTCCATTTGTTGGAAGAACATTAAGATGCAAAACCTCAAATTGGAGGATGAGCTCAGAGAAAAAAAGCGTTCAGCGGTTACAAAGCTCCAAATTTATATGTATAAAAATTTGGGGGCGTGTGGAGTTGCTCATCTTTGAATTGGGAAAATGTTGCTGCTCTGCCGTTGACATTAACACTGATAACGCCGTTAATAAGATATTGTGATGGAAGAGAAAACGACCGAAGAGTGTGGATCCTCGTGATGAGAGTCTATTTATGAGCGATGCCCCGCTAATATGTCAAAATTATGTTAGAGGATTTCAGGGCGAGGGTGCCCAAAAGAATTTATTTGGTGCAACAGTGAGAAAACTCAGCCACCATGAGCAATGGATAATTTATGCTCAATATGACGAAACTTTGAGATGAACGGGATGACGTCATTTTGATCAAAAATTATTCTCTTAGTTTAAAGCTGCGGTCTCATTTGCCTTATAGCCTTGATTTAGGACCAGGTGAGTATCACTCTCTTCCAAATATTTAATTTGAATGTTAAATTGATTCGATTTTTTATGTAACTGCCAGAAAAAAGTTGTACTAGTTTCCCATGCCTAAAGGCTGGAGCATTTTCGAAAGTGGAATTTTTAACATATCAGTCAACATCCAGTAGTAATATAAATGAATTCTCTTTTAAAAAAAATTGCAAAAAATGTCCCCAATTATTGATAAGAGAAAGAGAGAGGGAGAGAGAGAGAATATTACTTTGTGCTTTTTTAAACAAAATTTCCATTTCATTCACTATTTTTTATATGATTTTATGCAATTTGATTACCAACAATCCTTTCAAATGCAATTTGAATTATTAAAAATATTTCTTATTTCAAAATTTTTATAACTACAAACATTTGTCACAATTTCACGCACTCAAGCGTACACAAAACTGAAACAAACCCGCCGCTTAATGCCTAACACCCTCTTCACATGCGTTTGGCAACCCTTATGCGGCCCGGCAGTTGAGGCCGATTATCACCGAACGAGTACGCCGCACTTCACAGCCATGCAATTTGTGGCATTTAGTAAACATTTTGTGTGTGTGTAGGAAATTAAATCAAATATCCGCATAAAAGCCGATTACAAAGTGAAAGACTGAAAATCAGTTGAATTGAATTGAAAATGCACAAATAAATTTCTACAAATAATGTAAATGTAAAATATGGAAAATTATTTTTATTGCATACATACCCACATACTCGTATATGAGTATAAATGTATACGTACAAATTGCATGATGACAAATTTGTGGGAAAACCCCACTCACTTCTCCATTCACTTGTATTCACTGCCGTTCAACACTTTTAACGAATTATTCGCACATGAATGATTTTTAATTTTTTAATTTTTTAATGGCGTTTTAGTAAAATAGAAACAATTTTTTATGTAAAATTTATTTCCGCAAATTAAAGTGATTGTGTTGGTTATTATCATGTGCAAATATATAAAACATACAATATTTGTTTGCATGTGTGAGTAAATAAATTTATTTTATGAGTTATCGCAATATTTATATGCGATGCTAAAAACATTTTATTGAGATTGCAGAAATTGTGATAAAATTATTTACGTTTGAGTGTATGCTGTGATATTAATTTATATTAAAGCACTTCTTACAACACATATCTATCGGTTGGAAACATATTTTTGAGTAGCTTTCTTAGTGTATGCCAGCAGACGTGGCCGCTCGTTGCTGTGTCCTGCTGTATTTTGCCCAATTTTTATTCTAAATGATATTGCAGATAACTACAAAAAAAAAAACACCAAACGAAGCATCATCTTAGTCAAAATAATAAATTTTTAATTTTATTATTGATATTACAAATAATTTTTATGTGTAGGAATCACTTGCTCGCTGCTCATCTTCTTGTCAATATGAATACCTCAAGGTAAGCCAAATGCAGCCCTCGGAACTATGATTATTTACACTGAAGTTGAATGTATCAGAATTACTTGTACCCTGAACATACCTATACACGATCTCTGCTTATGTCTAAATCATACCAATTTTTCACAATTTGTCGATGATCCCTTTACCGTAAAAGAAGTATCACTTACATTTCGAGCTAATCGTACTTGGTTCCAGGCCACCAGTCAATATTCAATTTAAATAAAACTATTCATTGATATGTTAATTTTTTCAAAAATACCTATCCAATATCCGTAAAAAAAAAACTAAAACAACGATTATTCGAATAGGTCAGTTTCTAGGCCCCTTCCCAAAGAGAATTGTAGTCTTTCTGTTAATCTAAGCAAAAAGTTACCTTCATACTTGAGTAAATCGACCGACTTATCTAAAAATATTGGTCCCTAACGTCCCTATGTCTCCTGGAGAAAGGAGTAGTTTTCCCGTTAACCTAAGCAAAATACCACCTACATAGGTACCGAATTCCAAGTCAATAAAGCTCCGAATTTCAAGTAAAGTGAACCATAAATAATATTTTTCCGCATAGGACAGCCCATAGTCCTCTTCCCGGATTAGGAAAACGCCACTTATTTATTGATTTTGAAGTAAATCGAACCATAAATACATTTTTCTCTTAGAGTACGATTAACTTCCCGAAAAAAATAAAAATCAGTAATCAACTCTCGATAGCACAATTCATTCACCCTAACTTTGCCTCAACTTCTAAAAAATGAGTTCCAATGACCCCGCCGTATCATGAACCGCACCAAACAGTTACACGTTGAGGATGGAAAGGCTTTCCAACAAAAAATCTTGGGTTTTTCGTGCACCAGATATGACAGTTTTGCTTATTGACGTAGTCATTAAGGTGGAAATCAATTAAGATGATTTTTCGATGAAATTCCAGATCATTTTCCTGCATTTCAAGCATCCAACCAGCAAAGACAAAAGTTTGCTGAATGTCAGAGGGCTTGACTGAGCAACTGAACTTTGTAAACCTTCAGACCCTATTCTCTCTGCAAAATACGGCTAAGAATCGGTAAACCTGAGTTGTCTTCAACACTTTGGGCTATAGCAACAATATTCTTAGTTGTTCTTGAGCGAATTGCATGTGTTTTATTCCTCACATCACTAACTAGTCCCAACAGCGCCATTTTTTCCACCAATTTTTTTTGCTTCACGGTTTTGCAAACCGTCTCTGCCAGGTTCTCACCACTTTTGTTGAGAATTTTAATCATTGCAAGGCATTGTTGAATCGTCCATCGATTAATGTTGATTGCAGGAGTAGTCAAAAATCGCTGCAAAAGCGACATCTACCGGAACAGTAGGCTATTAATAATAACACCTCTTATTGGAAATCTCTTTACGAATTAAAAATTCAAGTAAACTTCTAAACCCGAACATCTTAGAAAGATCATAAACAATATTTTATCGGTTTGATCCTAATATTTAATCCAGTTGACAATATAGGCTTTAGTTCCCGATGGTAGCATTACGACGTTCTGTCCTTATTGATTCTTCTCCGCTCTAATGCTCATCTACCACAAATTTTGTCTGAATTTTCCTAATGCTTTGTTCCTACGAGTGATAAAAAAGTGTGGTTTGTTATGTAACGAAGCTTCGCTCTGTAATTATCCGTAAACTTGTGCGATACGAGCGAAGAACAGGGAGAGCGACACACGCCAATATCTAGCCAACTTTGAAAGACGATACCAAATATTTCGGGATAAAGGCATGATGAGCGACTACTGTTGTACTCTAATACATGAAAAATATCCCAGGTAGTGCCGCAGACTCAGTTCAACATTATTCATTTCAGTTTTGCTACTTTCTTTCTAATAAAATGACCAATAAATAAATAAAATTATAAACACTTAAGTTGTTGACCAAATCAAAAATTCAGATTAGTTCTAGAACTTTAAAAATTGCACTACGTTCACGTAGTAAGCGTCGTAAGTTGTCTAGGTCCAAACCCGTGTTGACTTGTGTTATTTGCATGCATATTCAGCAAAATTATTTATTTTATTTAATTCGCAAAATCAAAAATACATAAGAACTCAATCAATACGAATTGATAAGAGCTCCTATATACATATATACATGTGTATGTATATTACAGTTAAATTTATTTTGAATGAAACCTCAAGTTGGGGTAGCCCCTCAGGCTTATCAGTCAGCTTTGTTGTTATACTCAGCGCCAGCAGAAATATTTTCTTGAAGTTCAAGATCTCATCGAAGCTTTCAGTAATCTCTCAGCGACGTTTCGTTCAGGTTGCTTAACGCTATTGTAGCGTAGAGTTTGTGAAACTGTTTTTAAATTGGAAAAATAAAAATAAATACTATTAAAGGAGTATTAGAAAACATATAAAAAAATATATATAAACATAAATATACTCGTATATAACGAATTCACTATATTTTAACGCTTGTTTGGTATAGAATTTTATTAATTTATTATTTGGTGGCGCGACGATGTCTACAACTTGGCGTAAATTGCTTTTGAGCTTCTGTTTATGGCAATTTTTCGTCACCGCAAGTGAGTATAGATTTTTAGTGTGAGTTATTATTCATTTTATTCAAAAAAAAAAAAAACAAATTCGACTCGAGGCAGGAAAAGTGCTTATCCGAGACAATTTTTTTTGTTTGCTGTTTCTTAATAGGTAGTGAAAAAAGGGAGAAAAAGAATAAGCCTGCTGAAATCATTATATTTAATCTATTTTTTATAATATCAAACAATTCATAGAACTTTTATTTAATTTTTATTTTTTAATTCAAATAAAAATCGAAGCAAATTTCTTGAGAATTCGGTGATAAAGAAACGAAATAAACAATAAATATATTATTCGTATTTAAGTATATGATGGAAACTAAGCTTTTCCATAAAATAACAAATACCGGGTGTTTCGAAAACAAAAGTAAATAAAATGCATTTAAAATAATTTTTTTTTAATGAAATTCTTAAATTTAAAGTTCGAGCCTCGACATTTTATGTGAAACATTATATTATTCGAATGATAGCTTCACGAATTTTTGCAAACTTCGATCCGGTGCAGATAATTTTCGACCACTTTTTGCCACATATTGGACGGTATCTCATCTTGACGATTTTTTTTTTTTTGTTCTTCAGTGCTCAAGACTTAAAGTTTATCCGCATAAACACGGTCTTTTGCGTAGCTCTATAAAAAAAAAGTCCAACGATGCCAAATTGCACACTCTCAGTGGCAAATTGGCATCGTGAAGACCGGAGCTTACATGTCCGGGATATTTTTCTCGCAATAAAGTCACATTCGCTGGTGTTGTGTAACACGAAGCACTATCTTGTTGAAACCACACATTACTCAAATAGTGTGCCGCAATTGCAGGTTAAAGAGAGTCAGTTATCAGACGACTATAACTCTCCTAAGTGACAGTCTCGCCGTTGTCATTTTCAATGAAGTAAGGTGAAATTACTCCTCCGGTTCAAAGAGCGCATCACAATAAAATTTTTGTGGGTGCAATGGCCTCTCTCGGTTATTTTTTATTATTTTTGGAGCCCCAATTGCGAGCCTGGTACAAACGACATCGAAAAGTAATAGAAAATTAATTTAAATAAAAAATTAAGTTAAATTTTCTAATTGCGGTCTCTTCTCGGCAGGAAATTTCAACCCTCCGGGTATATTTCTGGCATGAAATAAAAGCTCATCCTCCTAAAAAACATGTTGGTTTGCCTTGCATAATATCAAATCTTCGGTAACAGCAACTTCGTGGACTTAAGTGGGAAAACCGAATGAAAAATGACAAGAGCCATCGGCAAATGTTTTAAACTTAAATTTAGGTTGTTTAAGAGATATACCAGAAGGGATGAGAACCCCCTATTGAGATCAATATTAATAAGATTTTCTTCATAAGTGAACTAAAATTTATTCTTATTATTAACAAAAAAGCGAATCTAGAACTGTTCTGGAATTCAAACTCCCTTCATTTTCTTTTTATTTCCCTTAGTTGCGCAGGAAACTTGTCTCTACAGTCCCAAGAGAAATGGCATTTGCGTACCTTATGAAGATTGCAAAGAGTTACATAACAAAATCTTTTTTCCCAATGAATATTGCCCTGTAAGTATAAAATTTGGATATAAACACAAATATATTGATTTAAAATTCAATTTCTGCAGAGAAATACTGTTTGCTGTCCAAATGTATTAACTACACCGCCCGCAAATGATCGCATATTCAGTGGCATATTGCCCTCAGTATATAGTAATGATAACAACCTTGAGCCACTGCCACCACTACCCGATCGTGTGCTGAAAATATGGGATATCGCTGCTACAGATAATAACCCTACTACATCTTTGAGGCCAGAAATTATCAAAAAAGAATTTCAAAATCCAACTCAAAAAAGTTGGACTGAGAATTCAGACGCCAATGAGCAAGCGCTTCCACCGCTACCCGACAGTGTACTGAAAATATGGGACATTCCATCGTCAGACGTTAATCCAAAAGCTTTCAAAAATGCTGTTCAAATTAAGCCACAAACCCGCTTCATGTCAGAACAGGATTTTCAAGAGATTGATGCACATAATAAGTTTAGCAACCAAGAAGCTCCGCCTCCTTTACCCGACGACATACTGAAGATATGGGATGATTCCCCTGCAGATGTTAAACCAAACCTAACTTTAGATCCCAACTCAGCCAAAAATGAATTAAGGAAGCCACCTCAAGCAGGTTTTATATATTTCCCCGGCAGCGGTAATCAGTTGAACAACATTACTCCGCCTACACGTTTGCCAATATTTAGTGATTACCCGAATCCTTCAGATGTTAAACTAAACAAATATGATGTTCCGAAAACAGCCAAAAATGCCATTCAAATTAAACCACAAACACGCTTCATGCCAGAAGAAAATTTTCAAGAGATTGATGCCCATAATAAGTTGACCAACCAAGAAGCACCATCTCCTTTATACGATAACATACTCAAAATATGGGGTAACCCTGATGCAGATGTTAATCCACCCCAAGCAGAAATAAAGCCACTTTCAGTGGATAGACCTGTATATTTCCCTGGTAGCGACAATCAGTTGAATACCATTACTCCGCCTACACGTTTACCACTAAATGAATCTCAGAATCCTCCAAGTCCAACAGATAATCTACTGCGGAACTTCAATAAAGAAAGTAGTACAAAATCAACGTTAAATGTTAAGCAGAAACAACCAATCAATGATCTTTGGAAACAACCTAAAATCTATGGCATTCCACCTATTTCCGCAGCTCAAGCAAAAGCTGATGAAGAGTTCTTTAAAAAACTGCTTAATACGAATATTCAACAATTAAATCCAAGCCATAGAAGTGGTGTTACTCCGACTCCAGCACTTGCAGAAACGCCAACAAAGCAAATGATGTTCCCAACAAATATTGATCCAACAAAACGTATTACAATTATTAATCGAAACCAAGCTTTGGCACCAACAGTCACTACTCCTCCTCCACTCACCACTACAACAAAGCAAATACCTTATTTCGATAAGGAATTCTACAGGCGTTTGGGCTTAGCCTTTGGTTCTAAATATGACAAATACATTCAACAGCAAGAGGTAACCCCACCTATAGATGTTATGGAAAGTACAACAACGGAAATAAGCGAAGAAAATGTAACTGAGCAGCCGAATTTCTTGAATAACCTAAATCATTTTGGTTTGGATAAATTGAATGCTGAGAAATGCGGCTTTGTACATGTTAATCATGATCCGGATAAAAGCAACGTCCAGACGAATATTGCCGAATATCCTTGGTTGGCTTTGCTGCAGTATGATATTGGAAATAATGAGAAAAACTTCTCATGCGGTGGCTCGCTGATCACTGAACGTTGGGTGTTGACTGCGGCAAGTTGTATCAAAAAGTCATTGTGAGCATACAGTTGACGCTAACTCTTTAGTTGAATTCTAACTAATTATCTTATGTTATTTTAGTTTTTTTTTTAATTTTATTTTATTTTTTATGTATTTAACTCATTTTATTAATTTTTTTTTTATTTGTTTAATTAATTTTATTTATTTATTTTTATTTAATTTTTTTTTATCTTATCTTATTTTATTTTATTTTATTTTATTTTATTTTATTTTATTTTATTTCATTTTATTTTATTTTTTTTATTATATTATATTTTATTTTATTTTATTTTATTTTATTTTGTTTATTTTATTTTATTTTATTTTTTTGTTTTGTTTTTTTTTTTTTGAGCTTGAAATGTTTTTAGTTGTTTCATATAACGGAGTTTTTTCAGAATCGGTGTACATTTGGGCGTAAAGGAGATATCCAACAAGGATTGTGCGCGCAATAAAAACTGTTTTAAAATTTCTCAAATGCTGAAGCACAGGGACTACAAACCAGAAACTGGCCACAAGGATATTGCCTTGATTAAGCTTAGGACTCGTGCTCGAAGAAGTAGTAGGTTTAGCAAATTAATTGTATGCGTGTTGAAATTATTCCAAAAATCGTTGTTTCAGACAATGTGAAAACTGTTTGTTTGCCCACAAAGTTGGAACACTTCGATGTGCCATTTGAGCAGAAGGAGCTAACAGTTGCCGGTTGGGCGGTGAAAAGAGAAGGTATACCATTATTGCCTTTTGTTTTTAGATTTTCGAAATGAAAGCTTATTATAAACAAATTTTCTTCTCTAGATTTCACTGCAAATCCCAGAAAGCATATTCTCACTAGGCATAAGTCACAAGTTTGTCAGCAATTTTATTCAGATGAAGTTTCACAAAAGTCCAAAATGTGCTTAGGTGGTAGCGATTTGCCGCCAAACACGTGCAGCGGTGATCATGGTGGTCCTGTGTTCTGGTTGGTAAACGATGACAAAAACGCCTTCACACAAATCGGCGTTGTGCCGGAGGAAATGGATAACTGTGGCGGCGCTGATGTGAGGCCATATTACGTGGAGAATGTTGCTGATTCGATGGACTGGATAACAAATGTCATTGCAGAGGAGAAGTAGTGATATTGATTTGTATTACAATACTGACTGAAGATATTCCATGTATTAAAAAATTCGTATTTTACAAAAATAGGTATTTTAATTTGCATTGGACGTCATATGAAAGCATTGGCATCCCGGTGGTCTGGTGAGCAGCTGCTAGAACTACTCAGGACATGACAGTGAAAGCAGGCAGCGTCTAGACTTATTAGGTTTCTTTGCACGCTCTATTATGGGAGACAAACGTTAGTTTACAGGTCTATTGCTATTTCGATACCAAATAGTAGGTAAATAACGTTTTGGGGTGGAGGTTTCCTGATCAAAAACCTCAACATGGGATTTTAGCCCATACATTTATAAGAGAAGCGAACAGAAGAAGAGAGGTAAACAGTCTGAAAAACCTATCAAAAACGCTATGAAAAAGAGGGCCGTGCTAAGCTTTTTCGACAACCAAATGTGGTCCAGAAAGGAAATGTTGATCTTAAATGTGATCTACCAGGCGACGGTCAAATTACAAAGCAATAGCCTACGGAAGCAAATAACGTATAAGTGATGGATAGTCATTAGCGTCATCAAGAGCAGGTAGAGGTGTTTTCCGACCTTATTGAGAGCACGACTCAAACCATTACTGACTGGGCTATCATAACGTAAGCGATGCATACATCATGGTCCTGATATTGTAACAGTAAAATATACACAATCTTGCTTTCGTTGGTTTCCTTCCGGTAATTTTGATCTGAAAGATGCTGTACGGTGTGGAAAGCCAATTACTGAAAATGTCGATAAAATAATGCATTTCTTCGAGTCACTGATTCGATGGCCCAGGAGCTAAACATTGCATAAAGAAGGTTTGAAATTACTTGGGTATGGGCGGCACATGGGTTAACGAGAAAAAACCTAATGGACGGAATTTCCATCCGGAAATCGTTGAATGGAAATTAGATCACTTACAGCAATGTCAAAGTAAAATGGTCATGTTCGAAGGGTACTAAGCCGGCACAAACGGTCTCAAAGCCAAGATTGACGGTCAGGAAGGTTGTGTGTTTGGTTGCATTGGTAAGGTATCAGCCACTTATGAACTACTCCCATGTGACCTTTTAATTCGAACCTATTGTCAATGATTGGACCATCCGAAAGAAGCATTCTCCCAGAAGCTGAGGTGAATTGTTTTATATTTCATCACAAAAACGTCAGGCCACACACTTGGATAGCGACACGCCAGCAGCTCCAAAAGCTTGGTTGGGAGGTTATCGGATCTCGCACCAGATGAGTATTATCTAATCTCAATTCAACTGGTTAATGACACCCACAGGAGTAATTTTCGGGCACGATCTTCATCCAATTTGGGATATATATCTTGAAGTTTTGCCCGCTGATTATAAGGAGCTTTTATTTCCTTTCAGAACTACACTTTGAGTGCTTGACATTCCTTTGTGAGGAATGTTGGATGTTAATCTGACGAATACTCGAATCCTCGCCCTTCAAATTGTAGTACGAACTGTTTACCAAAAACGTAAAAAAGAGCACGCAGTGGGCATTTAGATCTAAGAGAATAAAACAGTTTTTGAGAAGTTTGTGTTGAGTCATATTGAAGCCCTGAATCTTTACTAGCATATACTTACCCTCTCTTTATCTAGGAGAAATTTTCTGAGGAATTAAGATAACTTAATTCCCGAAGCTTGGTTTATCACCTCTTTGAATTTAGACTGTTAAAATTTCTGTCAGCCAAATTTGTAGATAAAATTAAGGTCAAACCTGAGCCTATCTGAAATGTACTGACTTGAAAATTTGCCTGAAGTATCCCATTACAAGACCTTTTGACTGCCGTGGCGCCTGCAATAAATAAGAATCGAATTATCTCTTTTGTCACATCACAAAGGCGATAATGAAGGTTGACTTACGTGGCACAACAATCTCGATGCCTTCCCCCCCTTACATGAAAATATTACACTTTTTAGTGGAAAAAATGTATAAACAAAAATCTAAACAAATTTGTTGTGCAAATGGGCGTAATTTAAGCGCTAATTTATGCACTGACTGCTGTAGAGTTTCACCAAATTTTACCGTTATTTTCATTTTTTTTGGTAATTTTGAGGTAAATGATAATACAATTTAATTGATATGGCAAACAAAAATAATTTATTGCTGCAAGCAAAAGGAAAATAAATACCTACAATGGCAAGAGGGGTGATTTTTTTCACGTTTTTGGTGTAAATACGAGTACATACACATTTACAAACATATGTAACTGATAAGTAGGCATTTATGAATTCACAACATATGTGCACAATTTCTGGGCGAAAATTTACCAAAAGTAGAAGTGAAATTTGAGCCGAAATAAATTATGGCAGCGACTTGTGAGAAAGGTGAGAGTGCAATGGTAGTAAGGACATAACATAGGAGTATGTAAGTATTCATGTATGTGAAAATTTTATTTTATTTTTTTTCAAATATGTGCTGCAGAAAGCTATAAATAAGTTTAGAAGAACGCCTTTACGATTCTTAAACCTTTTAAGCCCATTTGACAGCTCATTTAAAAGCAATTTTATTTTTATTTTTTGTTTTTGTATGTACGTTTGCTCAAGTGGCGGACAATAATTCGTATATGTATGTCTTCACACATTCTAAAATCCAAATTTACACATAAATTAAAATATTGCCGATATATTTTAATTATTTGACATTATGTTGGCAGCAGCGCAGGGAGTTTTACCCAGCGCAACGGTAAATTTGCATTTTGTAGTACATTTAGCGTTACGCTTTGCTACTTATACACGCCCCTTACACGCGTTACATGCGCTAAATATGTATTGTATGAATGTGCGCATAAAACCCATTCATAGTGTGCAAAATATTTTTTTTTTCTATTTTTTTGCAATGTACATTCATGTAAGTGTTGCAATAAATAAATAAATTTAAAATGCATTAAGTCAATATGTTTTTTTTTTTGGATTTTTAATTTTTTTCTAGAGACAATTTAACGGTGGGATGGGAAAATTTATGTTAATTCGTGGGAATTGTGAAGTGAAAAGAAAACCATTAAGCTATTACTCTGTAGCCATAGACGCACAGTAAGCACTTTCGGAAGGCCATAGTACCAGTCCTAGTCCGGCAAACATTCAAAATTATTTCGAAATCATTTTTATGCCTTGCACGTATATAAAATGGTATAAAACTTTGGTCGAAAGTATGTGAGTACCCGAGGAAAAATAGATAGACCCAAGTATGTGTGAAAAACGATTTAAATTGATGTAGCCAACTCCATCTGCCCGTCTGTTTGTACGCGAATTAGTCACGCAGCTTTGAGTTGGGACACTTGAACCTGCATTTGTTGGATCTGCCCGGACCGATTTCGGCTCAGAGATTTTAGGTCATATATAAATATATAAGGTTTAAGGTCAAAGATAAGTCAAACAATCATCTAGAAGCAAGAAATTTGTAGTTCGCTACACAGTCGCCGAAAATCATCAAGTATTTCATCCCATAGCCCCTCCAACTAAATTTTTAATATGTGAAATTATTCGAAAATGAAATACCCTAAATTTGACGAGGTCTAGAAAGTTATAAAGTATACTGTATGGCCAAAGACAGCTTATTTTTGCTGAGGGGCGAAGCTCTGACTGACATGAAATCAGAGTCTCTGATGAAAGTTGATCAGCCGATCAGAGTCGATTTCAGCCGTTACGAAGCGCCAGTGAGCAATATTCTCTTTAAAGCTATCCACTTTCGATCAAACATAAAGAGTTTTTTTTTTGGTTGAATGAGAGCCGATCTTACCCATTCCAAAGGACTGGATATAATGACTATTCGGCACAGTTCTTCTAAAGTTTCCCCCCTATAACTGTCTGAGAATATATGTATTAATAAATTGAATAGAACAATGAACTTGTCAATCCTTTCAGACAGGAAAAATGTGCGAAGAGGTTGGGTTTTATAGTATACGAAGGCAAGAAAAAGTATCTGCTGCTATCAAGCAAATGGTCAGCACCAGTAACTGGATTCTACAAGGCGCGCAACTTTCATTGTAAAGCAATAAGAGAAAGATAACGAGAAAGAGAAAAAGTAAAGATAAAAAGATAGATAAAGAGAAAGAGTAAGAGAGAGAGTAAGAGAAAGAGTAAGAGAAAGAGAAAGAAAAAAGAGAAAGAGAAAGGGAAAGGGAAAGGGAGCGAAGGGTCTGTAAATTCGGCTGTACTCACGCAGCCGGAGCGTACGGCAACAAAAATCAAGAAGAAGACTTGTCGTGAAAAGTCTATTTTGTACTGGCCACCCCGTAACATGACTAAAAATAATTTTAAAACATCCATGCCATACACAGGGTTACGCTTAGGAAACTAAACAAAACAAGCAGCATAAGCTGTTTACAATCCTATTTAAATTGTAAACAATTTTTAGAATTTTTCTGTAGTACATTTCACTTCAAAATTCATTCAAATATAAACACAACAACACATAACAATAAGCCATTGACAATACCAAAACCCAGAGTCACTACAATAACAGGGAGTAAAATGTTGAAAAACACAATAGTTGCTGATGTGTGGCATAGTAAACACTGCAAGTGGCATGCTATGTAGCAATGCTTGCAACAGCAGCAGCAGCAACATGCCACACGACGACAGTCAACTCATAAATCAACAAGTTAAGTTACAGTCATCGAATATGGACTAAAAGTTTTCCGGAATTTCATATTTTAAAAAGTTTTTTCTTTTTTTGGTACGGAAACGGAGATACAAACACACTGACAAGGAAACATATTGGTGTATACATTTGTAGTTAGCAAAGAGGTAGAAAGAGAGAAATTTAAATGTTCAACATATGAGAGCACTGATATGCAGCGCCACATACAAATATAAATATCTACTGAATTTATACATGTAACTTAGTATGTAACACACACTGTGTATATAGCAAAAATAAAATTTGAGGAGATAAACTGCACATCCAACAAATAATACACGTGTTTATCTGCATGCTTCGATTTATTAAAAATTCATGAAAATTTGTCAGCTTGTTGCAAGGCCATTAATCAAAGTTTGTTACATAAACTCAATGATTGTGTTATTGTTAACGACTCTTGTGTAGAGCTAAAAAGTGGATTTGTTTATGGTTAGCGGTGCCAGAAATACACTCGAAGGGTTTAACGTTCTCCATCGAGA